TTTCTCTCATTATATATGTGCAATAATTTTTTTAGAGCCAGACAAAGTAGAGTGGATAATGAGACAACAGGGCATATAATTAGATGATGTACTGCTTTGGCTGCTGTAGATTATAACAAGTTAAATAATGTTGCTTGAATTGTACATCAAAAGATAACTTTCAAATAGGAATTCAAAAATATGTTATCATAAAATACACCCCAAACAGATGCAAGATGATATAAAAGGATAGCACCATGCTTATAACTCAATGAATATAAGCCCCTAATCCAGGTATTCTGTTGAGCTGAGGAATCTAATGATGGTGTTTATCAATATCATTTTTCAGTTACAATATGCCAGGAACAAATGAGGAAAAATATATATTCACATACATTCATATAGTGTTGTAAAGTAGTAGAAATGGGCAAAGATTCAGGTATTTAGGCTCATTATCTTGAATATTTCTCTAAAACTGAAAAAAAAAAATCAATTTTAAGGAGCATTGAATGTTATAAACCAGTAAAGATTCAAAAGGAAGTACTTGTTGGTACTTGTCATATAATCAAAAGAGCTTTATCTCAACAGCAGATGATTATATTATTATAATTTCTTAAGGAAGAATTCATCTTAGAAAGAAACGATTAAGAAAAACCATAAATGGGCCCTTGTGTACTTTAACAGACTTTCACAATACACAGGCTAAAGATGCCAGACAAAGAAATTACAAAGAAATATGAATACTTGGAAAACAAATTAGGATATTGACAAAACAGAGGAAGTTGTCATGAGGGGAAAATGTAGTCCTACAATTACAGGCTTAGAATATGAACTAGATCATTCACCAATTGTCAAGTTTTCAGCACACATCCTACACAATAATACTCTCTTTATTCAAAATTTCTTTGTACTTAAGGCTCTAATAATCTCTGTTTCCCAAAGTTGTGTCAGGTATAATTAAATTTGGACAAAAACTACCTATGGACATTATATTCTCCAAAGCAGGGAAATTTATAGTAAGAGAGTAAAAACAAATCTACATCCCCTTAAAGTAGGTAAGAAATCTCTTTTTATCTATAACTAGTAGGTGTTGTTGTGTTTGTCAGAAGCTCAGAAATGAAAGAAGGAAAAATGAAATAAAAAGCATATAATAAAAAAATAAATTGAGAAAAATCTGACAATGTCATTTTCAATAAAACCAGTGATTCAAAACACAGTGATTAATTTTGTCAATCAGGTAAGTTGTATATAATGAGTAAAGTATCCTCAAAACAAAACAAAAAATAACCCAAGCTGATGTAACATTCTTAACTTTATATAATGGCAAGAAAATGCTTTAAACTTATAAATTATCATTGATAATTTATAAGTCTTTGCTACTGAAAAGCAGTATTGCATGCCCTCAGTGCAACAGATGTTTTTGGCAGTGAAACCTGACCAAGAAAAATACAAATGTTGTTAAGACACAATGTGCTTCTGCCTACTGTAGGGTCTTATAAAATAGAAATAAAGGCTTATTTGATGATTGTCCTATCAGAAAAACAGAAATGTTCCTTTCTGCTAATGCTTTAGGATTATATAAGGAAGCCCCAGAACACTATAGTAATACTCGGGTTGGCCTGGGGGTGGGGAGTGGGGGGGAGCTCAGTGCAGACAAACAAATAAGAAGCTTGTTTGTAAAAGGTGATGAAATTATTTTAGCATAATGAGTAAGAAGCATAAACAAGTACCAGCATGTACCTTTTATATAAAACACCTACAGATAAGTGGTCACTATCATCTGACAAGTAGGAAAATCAGATATATCCTAACGGACACATTCTCTCTCTTTTTTTAAGATTTATTTATTTATTTATTTTAGAAAGAGAGAGAGTGTGAGCACAGGGGGAGAGGGAAAGAGAGTCCCAAGCAGATTCCTTGCTCAGCATGGAGCCCGACATGGGGCTCGATCCCACGACCCTGAGACCACAACCCAAGCCAAAATCAAGAGTAGGACGCCCAACCAACTGTGCTACCCAGGCGCCCCTAAACACATCCTTATATTAATGTGCCAGCCAATATTATGACTATCTTTTAAAAAATGTGGCATCATTAGCAACCCCGTGTCCCATCCCTCTTTGCAGAAGCTGGTTATAAACCTTAGATAAACCTATTTGCTCTTTCTGCAACTCTGCACAATAAAAACCAAATCTGAAACCTGCAGCTCTCCAATATATCCAGCATCTGGTTATATCACCATATTACCACTTACAGAAAAGGGAGTGAGAACCTGATCTAAGGAATCTCCACTGATGGCACAGATAGCATGAACATTCTGAGCTCTTCCCATAAGACCCGGTCAAAACAAAGAGTTTCCTATGCCTTACAACTGCTACATAAAAATTTACCAAATCACAATCTTTTCTTTTCAAATGTACTATAAAAACATATAGGGCAGTTTGATCCCAAGTAAACTCAAAGTATTCCAGAAGAGAACAGGGCTATACAACTATTATTTAATATTTTCTTAGACTCCCAGGAAAAAGCAACTTTCATTCTTGGACATGACAAAAAGCTGGGAAGCTTTCTTTTTTTTTTTTAACTGTAGTTGATACACAATGTTACATTAGTTTCAGGTGACTGGACAAGTCCACTGGGAAGATTTTTTAAGAGGATAGACTGGAAGGGAGCATGTCATCACCTAGACCAGGGTAAGATCAGTAGTTAGGATCACCTGCTACATAACGGAAGGCTAGCAAATAATCTCTTTAGAAAAAGAAGCATTTAAAAAATTATATATTTTTCCAAAAATTTTCAAGTTCACTATATTCAACCTACTATCAAGTAAAGTGAGATGAAAAGCTGGTTGTGGTAGTTGCTCCTATAATCACCATTACTCTCAGAAAGAGAAACTAACAGTTCTTCTCCCAATTTATGCAAGATTAACCTGGATGAAAAGCTGTGCTCCTTCCTTAATAAGCCGTATACCAAAAATTTTACACATCATCATAAATTAAGAAGAGAATAAATAACAATACCTGCTCTCTTTACTTCTCAGATGTGTCTATGAAAAGAAAATGACAAAAGCACTGATGCTCAATTAGAGAAACTTCATCAGAATCTCCAGGGGAAAGAACAAGAGGAGGTCTTTGTATGTATAATCTGGTGGAGGTAGATGTACCACTAACCCCAAATAATCTGTCAAAAAGAGGACAGAGAGCAAACCTGGAAGAGGAGAAATAGATGTGAAAGGCAGGCTTTAAGGATGCTGGTACCACTCAAGGAAGAAAAGAAGGAAAGGAGGGAGGAAGTGACACCACTGCATACACATGTATATAGCTCAAGAACACAGAACAAGCCAGAATGAATGCTAATTTTAAGATCTACTGTACTTACTGCAAACCAAGAAAATAAATCCTGTTTAATCAATATTATATGTTGTTATATGATGTGATTCATTCTTATTCTCAAACATTGTCACTCAGAACCTCCAAAAGTTCTCGCTCGTCTACCTAAATCCCTCCTAAACAATTTGTGATTTTGAATAAATTTCTGTATCTAAAGTACTGAAAGTGACCTGAAGTGTGGAAAATAAGACATGAAAAATTCCCAGTAAGAAACAAATGTCTCATTTACAATCTAATCGGTCACAGTAAGTTTTAAAAGATACCAAATATAGAATTTTAAAAATCCCTACAAAATAATAAATCAAGTGTTCTTCGCTTATGTACATTCTCGTAGGACACATGAGCTTTAAACTATTTTTCTAAGAGTAGTAATACCTATACCCTCACGTATGGTCCAAAGCTGGTCAACAACACATTTGTGAACTGCTCGGAAATGGGTGTGCAATTTGTACTCAGGCTGACCCAAGTAGGAAGCTAATAGCCTGTCTAAAAAAAAAATGAACCCATAACTTTGGTTTCATTAGCACTGCACTCTAAGCTGTTAAAGATTCAAACACTAACTTGGATTTAAGGGGGAGGGGGACAGTGAACACTAAGAGGGAGGAAATTTGTATAGACAAGTCTATGCAAAATTTTCTATTAATGCAAACCAGCTGTACGAGTAAGAAATACAGTTTTCAGTATTTGAGCCTTATGGAACACTAATGGGTTTTTCTATTCCAAGTTTCCATTCTGAGAAGAAGACCTTTTAATTCATTATTCCCTCGGAGTCCCTGGCACTCCTAAGAACTACCTTTCTAAAATAATGGCTCTGGAGCACAAATTATGTATCTGTTAGGAGATATGTGCTGTGGCTCTGAATAGCCATTCCAAGCCATTCCTTATATGACAAGTCATGCATTCCCAAAGAAATACTGTGAAAGGAAGTACGTGAGCCATAAGTATGTGATCCATAAGACCTGTAGCACAGCTTAACTCAAAGTTGTGAAGGTTAGAGTTCATATTCAACATCTAGATATATGCCATCTACAAAGCACTGTGATAAACCACTGATTTATTGTGATTCACCACTGGTTGTTTCCACCATAATTCTATTCTGATTGCTACAACTTAATTCTACCATATGGTAAATATTTTCCCCCAAGCTTTGATGAATTAATCTTTCTCCTACAAAGCTCATAAATCAATTTAAAAACTGTTTGCATGTAACCACCTTAATACTGAATATATACCACCTGCCTCCAACACCAGTGACAACAAAAGTTATACATGCACATATGAGCTTTGTTCTCCTGACAGAACGACCAGCTCTGCCAGTATAATATTTTTGATTTGTACATAAACTGTCTCTAGGAAATTCATACAGTGGCTTTATCCATAATAAGGAAAATCACTCACATAAGCTTTTAGGACTGGAAATAGAGGAATATCCATTTCTCATGCCAATATAGCTCAGAAATCTTAGAGGTTTCAGGGGAAGAGAATACATAATCCCTAGCATCCTGAAAGTTGAATAAAATTTCTGTACAAGATACCTCTGGCACCCCAGACAAGAGGCAAGAATAACTGCATCAATTAACATCAACTTAAAAACCATTATAAAACTGGTTTTAAAAGGAAAAAGCAAGAACAAACCTCAATTTTGTCTGTTTTGGCATCTCCCCAGTATATTTTGCCTTCATCATAATCCAAGGCTAAACCATTTGGCCAACCAAGAGAAGTGTTAACCAACACTACTCGGTCGGAACCATCCAGAGCTGCTCGCTCAATTTTCGGGATTTCTCCCCAGTCAGTCCAATACATGTACCTATAGAAGTATACAGAAAATGAGCTAAAAACAGACAATAAACTGTAACCTTCAGATACTCTAAAGGTCCACCCCTCACATGACACTGGTATCAGTTAACACCATAGAAGGGAAAAAAAAAAATAGGACTTAAACATACTCAAAATTCATGTTTAAGACATAACAGCAGTATAGACATGCTTGTAGGAAATTTTCAGATCAGTGTTTTCTAGAACTGATCATAAAAATGCCTTCCAATAATGAGATTCCACTTTTAGTTATGTTTCTTCAAAATATTTTGTGCTCCTTCCCACTAACAGTCATCTCTTTTTCTCTAAACTTTTTATTTATTTAAGTAATCTCTACACCTAACATGGGGCTTGAACTCATGACCCCAAGATCAAAAGTCACATGCTTTTCTGACTGAGCCAGCCAGACACCCCAGTCGTCTTTTTTTCTTGCTGGCTTGTCATCTCTGACACAAAAAGGCTATCCCAGTAGTAATATTCAGATGACAAACTGAATTCCCAAAATAACTCTTTCTGTAGTGCTAAGTAACTACTGTGGTTCCTGGGAGTTTAAGTGGCTCCAAGCATTGATATACACTGAAGTGTAATAATTTGTCACTATGTTCACCCTTAGATGAATCTCATAGTAACAAATAACATTGGTGAGTATACAGAAAGCTGTGTTCTTCCCCAAACTGTGGTCAGAGTGTTATGACCCAAAAAAAATTCAAGTCATTCACATAACTTGGGATATAAAAAGTAAGATATATCCTTTACCATATCATTCTAGAAGTACCAAAAATGGGATGAAATTAAATCTTCTAGGGGAAGAGAAAGAGTTCTGAAAATAATTTCTTTCCACATTTTTCACGGTCATGATGCAACCTCAGCAAAATCTGTAGCCAACACCCAAAGTCAGCAAGCACTGACTTAATTTAGAAAAATATTCAAAACAGTCAAGGAAAAAAATTAGCAATTCTTTAACTTGAGATTTTATTCCAATCACTATGTTCTAAAAATGAACAGCCACTGATGAGCTGTTTATTGAAAACCAACACATACTTCATATTGTTTTTGTCAATGTTTTTAGGAACCTGTAGAAAACAGAAACACCAGGCAAAATTTTCTATCAGCAGAGCTTCTTACCCAACCATGGGATCTAACACAATAGCCCGGGGTTCCTCCAAGTCCTCTGAAATCAAGATCTTCCTCATGGTCCCATTGAGCCTTGTCACTTCTATCCGATCAGTGCCAGTGTCTGTCCAATAAAGATTTCGGGCAACCCAGTCAACAGCAATGCCATCAGGATGCGCAATTTGAGCGGTGACCACAAACTGACTGCCAGATCCATCTATGAATGAGCGGCGTATGGCCCTCACTTCATCATCAGTCCAGTAGATATAGCCTTCCACAGGATCATAATCTATGGCAATGGCATGACGGATGTCTTCCAACTGTAAAACAATGTCTGTGAAATCTGGTGTATCCAAAGAAATGCGTCTCAAGTCTGTCCTTCGTGCTAAAAGCAGTAATTCAGTGGCACCTAGAACAATAACGTGAGATGAATGAAGAAAAAATTCAAAACCACAGGCCAAATTTAGTCACTCTAAATAAAGAATGCAGAACTTCTTCAAGAATTGAAAAGTAAAGGAGTATAAAAGGATACTCAGAGTCCATTTAGGGTGGAAATGGAAAGTAACATAGTGAACCAGAAACAGCTTGACTGTGTGGTCAAGCTCTATAATGGCTCAGCTCTCCAAATCAAGTTTTGATTCCTTCTCTGGTTCATTTGTTATATAGCCCCTGAAATTAATAACAGCTACTTAAAGGTATAATAAAGAATGACTACGTAATGACTAAGAAGTTGAGTAGCTGAGTATTAAAGGAAGAAGGAGACATAGGATATAGGTCCTTTGTTTGAGAAGTATGTTTACAAAGGTAAATGAATCCAAGACAAAGATCTTTTGTGTTTGATGAGAATGTTCTAAAATTGGATTGTGACGGTTTCACAACAGTAAATTAGTTAAAAACCACTGAATTGTACACTTGAAATGACTGAAATTTATAACATGTAAATTTTATTTCAGTTAAGCTGTCTTAAAGAGAACTATAGGGCAATGCTGGACGTAATTAATGACAGAGAGAGCTATGGTGAAGGAAAAAGCAGCAGCAAAGAGAGGGAATCAGATAAATGTAACATACTGGTGAAGAGTAAGAGTTGTAGATCTGACAGAACTGTTGGATTCAAGTTCCTATACAAACTTAGGCAAAACTTCATCTCTCTAAACCTAGTTTCTTCATTTATATCTCACAGGGCTGTTGTGAAGATTAAATAAGATCCATGTAAAATTCAGGAATGTACTAAACATATAAGTATTTGATAAATACTAGCTAATATATTATTACTATCATTAGAAAAGAAACAACTTTCAAGTTTTTATTTCACTGAGTTTTAAATCAGATTTATTTATGAAATGTTTTTAACTCAAAGTAGTATTCAATAAAAACACAGCTGAGAATGAGGACATTAAGCTCAATCTTTTTGTTTTGATTTTTTAATGTTCAAGAACCAGTAAAATCATCTAACTATAAAAGACAGTAAGCAAGCTGACATCTGAAAGAGTGAAAAAAGATTCCCAAAGAAGTGTCTAAAAGAAAATACTGGCATTTAGCTTCACATCAATCTAGAATTATAGCTGAAAAAACTGAGAAGAGGAGTAAAGCTCTCAACAACAGCTTTTTGACTCAAGGACTAATTATAAATGAACTCGATCTTAGAGAAAATACAGCCCTAAATGCCATAGCAGGCAACAAGCAGGAGTAACTTTGTACCATTCACTGCCTCTGCTAACTACCAAAAGAAGCCAGCCCCAAAACTCTGCAAACGAAGAAGTCATAGAAAGTGAAGCTGTTAATTTGAGCAAGGTGATCAAAACAGAATAGTTAACTTGAAGCTACTACATGTAAAATGTACATCTAAAATTCAAAATACTAGTTAAACATGTACATTTGCCCTGCTGTGAGTGAGTAGACAAACCACTATTGCTAAAATAAATCCTCTGTTTTAAAGTCAGGCTACATTTTTAAACAAAAAGCAACATTACAAAAACCTTTTGTTTTAAATTGAAACCAAATTATTGTTTGCCATGGAAACCATCTGACAAGAGTCAGCCAGCTTCACCTTTGACTATGAGGATAATTTATCAATGCCAACTCATGACAAATAACCTGTACACCAGCTCAATTCCATCTCCCTGACTCCCTGACCCCCTTACCAGGAACTCCCTAACCCACTCTGAAATAAAGGCTTCTGCTTTTCAGAGTTAGATAAAGAAGCCACTGCTAAATGTAACAGTTTTTTTTCCAGGTCTTGCTGGTGGCTAGAAAACCAGATAGTGATCGGTAGGGGTAAGAATGAAGAATAATATTCTCATTAAGAAGAAAAAGAGAAGAACTGTTGTTCTCCCAAACCAGAAGTCCCTTGAAATGTCCTAAATCAACATATTTCTCCAATATGCCCTCTTTCTATAGGGAATTAAGAGAGTAAGGAGAAGAGGCAGTGGTTAAGTACAGAATGAGGTTGCTTTAAAAACAGAATATGGAATTTTTTTTCTTCTTCTGAAAGCACTTCTCTGTTGTTAAAAAGCAATTAAAAATATCATTCAATAATTTTTTAGGAATATACCAACCTGATGATAAGTCGTTATAGTTGAAAGTTTAGTAAACAGTATTTCCTTGCACAGAGGTCCTTTATTTACAAATGCTACCAACTGTTAAAAATATATTCTTTAAGAAAAGTAATACTCATTTTCACAAGAATCAATTGTGGTATCAATGACTGACGTTTCATAAAAAAAGAAATAGCACTTAATTTTTTTCAAAAATAGCACATTAAAGATTTAGTTAAAATGCTAAACTTATAAAACAGTATTAAAGAGATGCCCTAAAACACAAAACACCCCTGTTATAGAACTGATTGTGAAGACAAAGATTAAGCAACTAGTCTCCCCAACACTGTAACCTACAGAGCTTATTATAGAGAAAACAAAATAAATCATAAAGAATTCCAGTTGCTATCTGAAATATTTCCTTCTTGGAGACCATCTTCTTACCATCTTTGCAGGTTTTTCCATTCTCCAGGAGTTTGACCCCAGTTGGACAAGCACACTGATAAAAAGGCTTGACTGGAGACATCAAACACAAGTGGGAACAACCACCATTATCAATTCCACATGGATTTGTAGCTGTCAAATATAAATCACACTGATTAATACCAATGATTATGGATGCCCTCCCTCACTCTAGGTACACAAAGGTTAACAACCATAACATGAGCAACTGCGATAAACCAAATTATTACCAAATGTCATCCAGGTGCTTGACTACCAAACCATTTGCAAGGAAGAGAATTAATCAGTGAGAACTGACTTAGCATTTTGTACCCAAAGAGGAATACACAATAAAGCAGGAGACCCCTGCCCTAAAAGAGCTTACAATCTAGTCAGTATGCCAAAATTAACAAACTAGAAAACAATACAAAACAATGAAACCAAGTGCTACCTTGCACATGATAGATCATCAATAAGTATAGAGTCAAATGGAAAGTAAACCACTAAGGATTAAAGAAGAAAACTTTCAGGGAGGACACAGGACATGAAAGGACCTCTGAAGGATAGGAAAGACTGATAGGAGGACATTTCAAATGTGGTAAAACTGTATGAATAAAAGCTTTGAGGCTGTACATTTGGAGAGATAATAAGGCAAATAGTCTAACTAGATATTAAGGTTTCTGTTGACTAATAAGAGCTAAAGCTGAGTGAGCACAGAGAATGGGAACAAATTGTGGTGGAGGGCACTGAAAGCCAAGAAAAGTAATTAGAATGTTGAAAATTCCACTTTGGAAAGATTAACATGGAAAAGATATGCATAATAGATTAAAATGAGAAGCAGAGATTAATTAGCACTTTTGTCAAAACTATGGAAAGGGATGGATTTAAATAATAATATTCATAAAAAATCAACATAAGATGGAGACCAACAAAATATGAAAGATAAAGCAATGATAACTGCAAATTTTGAAACTAGTAAAATATAAAGGATCAACAGTGCCATTAAACAAAAACAAAAAACAAATAGGGAAATTCTCTCCTAAGGGCTAAACATGAAAATAAAAAATTCATACAATACTTTTACAAAAGGGCAACACATACATTTAAAAACATTTTTATGGACTCATGATCATCAGATTCCAATATAATATATTCATTATTTAACTACCTCCCCCTAAATGGATAGAGCTAATACAAAGCAATGTAGAATCCAAATCCTTTATTTTTGGCCATGGAATACAATCTGAAATATACTTAGACACATGCCAGACATTTATTTATATACAAGTGCCAAACACTTAACATTCTCATATTCCTTTTAAACCTAATTCTACTCCTCTCTTACAAGTAATTGTTGCCAGAAGCCAAAGCCCAAGGCACTGCAAAGGTTGACCAAAAATAGAAGCAAAACTAAGAAAAAGGGAGGTGGGGGGCGGGGGGAGTGTGCACAGAAAAAGCAGGTATTTTATTAGGCAACCTAAGGTACTTAAATTCACCAGTTAGATTCACAGAGGTTTCTATTTAAGAAAATTGCTTGTTTGTTTTTAAAAACACATTAGAGAGAAATAATATAAAGAAGAAATGCATTTGTGTATAAGCTTAGCTATCTCAATTTCTTATTTTATTTCTCTCTTCTCAGACACCATAACCCCAGACCCAAACAAAGGGCTGAGGTGGCCAACAGTCATAGATAACAAGGTACAAATGGTTTAGGCTGCCATTTAACCTGAACTATATTTTGATATTCTCCCCATGTTTTATTCCTTCCTACTACCTTTGGATATGACCTCTCTGCTCCTGCCTTCACTAAAGCCAGACATCTGAGTGCTAAAGCTATTCCAACTTGCAATTTAAAAATCAGGATCACTTACCATTTGGCTGCCTCTGTTGGCTGAAGGCATGTATATCCATGGGAGAGAAGATGTTAGAATGGATTTCACGCAGACCCTCGCCAGTGTACTTGTTGCAAGCCAAAATGGAGTGTGTATTCCAGTCAGTCCAGTACAATGTGTCCTCAAATAATGTCAAGGCAAAAGGATGTGGAAGGGAACCTTTAACCACTGCCTGCCTATTAACAAAAACAGAAAAACTCAAACATTTCTAAATTTTCTTTTATCAAAACTTGATTTTGCCCATTAAAACATCTTGTTTTCTACAATAACACACACAAACCCCAAGTAACACATATCTCAAGGTCAAACACACCTATGAAAAATAAGTCACGTAATAAATTTGAATATATTTTCATAGTGTCCAAAACTCCCAACCAAGTACTTGGCAACAGACCCCAGGATCATTACAAACTAGCAGAGAGAAGGCTCAAGTACTAGCACTGCTGTCAATTCCCATCTCTGAACTCACATCTTCCATCCTTCCACAAAATTCATGTTGTTAGAAGACAGGTGGGCAAAAAGAAAAATCCCAAGGTTTAAAGTTGGCACTGTGAAGTAGTTTTAAATCTGCAATAGGTTTTCCCCTTCTTGATGTGTAAAAACAAAGAATCTGAGCCTGTTTCTTCCATCATCTCATATGGTTTTGGTAAGTGAAAGTAAAAACATATACTTGAGGCTAAAAAAGGTGTTCTGGTGGAGCTCTTTCTGCAAACCCCAGTCTAGCTCTGGTAAAGCATCATTTCTGCTTGCTTTCTGCTATATGGTTACTTAATCCCCACAAGTCAGGTAGCAAAAAAAAAAAAAACAAGTGCTGCCACAGGCATCATATGCTCATGAGACAAAACAGACCCAAAAATCTCTCAAGCAATCCATACTATATGAAAGGAAAGGCAGAGAGCCTGATTAGTGCTCAACCACAGAACTTTGCAGTGTCATGGAGAGTTATTAGTAAATATTCCTGAATAATGAACAAATCATGTTCTGCTCCAAAATAATATTAAAGAAAAAAACTTGATATTTATCTAATGTCAAAAATAATATTTTCATAAATAGACTGGGAGGGAGGAATGGGAAGTATAAGCAACTGAAGAGAAATAAAGAACATCACATATTTTAGAGAAGATAATCCAGTTTTTAGGTCCTGGACATCACTTGATGATCTAAAATACTGAAGAGACCACCAGCATACTAAATTAAATTCAAGAGCAATAAGATAATTTTTATCTAAGCAGAGTTAATATCTGTTATTGTACATGGAATGGTCCTAGCCTAAGGTGTTTTAAATTCAGGCCCAATTTTTAAAAAACTGAATACAAGATTAGCATGACCAGCTTACCAAACAAATTTTCTATTTTAGACACTCATCCCTACTCTGCCAGCCCACATCACCACAATTTTCTCCTCTCATTTTTCTTCTTTTTCCCCTAGCAGATTACTTTTCCTTCTCATTTCCCCAAAACTGTCACAATGTCAACTTCTGAGGTGGTTTCTTCCACTTTTTAAATGAACGGCTTTTACCAAAGTGGTTATGTTATTTACAGGAATGAAATCTTAGTTTAAATCCAAATTTAAATAGGTCTACATATTTCACACTAAAATCTACCAAAATTCAGTAAAGGTAAGAGAGTTCTGAGAAGCTGCCAAGAAAGAAGTAACACAACTGAAAAAGGAAGAATAGTAATAAATGACTTAGCATTTCATTTACCACCTTAAAGAACTACAAATTCCATAATCAAATCTTTGAAAAACTTTGGGAAGAACAAAAAGCCTTCTAAGTCCTTTGTATATTATTAAATAAAAAGTTAAAATTCACTTTTTTAAAAGATTTATTTATTCATGAGAGACAGAAAGAGAGAGAGAGGCAGAGAGAGAAGTTAACACAGGAAAACAAACAGGAACAACAAAATCCTTCCCTAAAAGATACACTCACTTTATATACTGACTAAAAACATTTATATATTGGTAAGAAATCAGATAGACCTGAGTTCAATGTCCCTCTGACACTTACTACTTACATCGTTTCTGCAAACTTTATTTTCTTTATCTATAAAAGATAATAATCTATCCCCATTGAGTTACTGTAAACATTAAATGATAATATATGCAAATGCATTTAGCATTATGGTTGGTACTTAATAAACATTTCACAAATAATCCCTCAATTTTAGGATATATATTTTTCAATATTTTAATATTCCTGAGATGGGGTAACATTTTACAACTGAGGTGTACATTTCCTGTATTAGTTTGTAAATCAATAAAAAGTTCTTAAAATCAATATCATATTAGAATCAATAGACTCTGACTTATTTATATTCCCATGATCTCACACAACACTGTGTACACAAATTAAATGGAATGATTAGACAATAAATGCTTGATAAAATTAATTATCTAAATGATATATGTAATTAACAGAGCTGAACAAAAAGCAGAATTAAGAAGGCTATCACTCATTCTTAACATATTCTTTGGTATTTATTGATTCATCCAAGCAATGGTGACTTGTTTCTGAAAATGGAGATAACTGTACAGTCTTCACCTTTCATCTCTCTGGTTGGGATTACTAAGTAGGCCCACCTCTTGGTTTCTCCCTGAAAACATAAGTTTCCTCAAGGAGTTGATCATGGGTACCAAAAACAAACATGGCAGGCACGATCAAAGCCCAGTTCTTCATTAGTATGTCACAACAACAGGAGTTAAAAAATGGATCTCTACTATGAAGACCAAAGGAAAAAAACTGAGACACTGCTGATACTTTGATTTAGTGCTGACAACCTCTGAGTATCATCCGTTCCCTGTGTCTGTCATTTTCAGCAGTGTACTGATAGGGCTCAATCCCACCAGTACCCCCAAGTACATGAGCCACTTGCTACCTCTTTCGTATTCCATGCTTCGTGGGTGCCTCTTTCAAATTCTGCACCAACTGGACTTACCCTTTATAGAACACCTGTGCACTTGTATTTACTTTCTCTGTTTCTGGACCTCTTCCCAGAAAGCTGTCCTCTGCCCCTGTTTCAGAATTCCCCCACCTGTGTGGGTAATAAATCTTTGTTTGGTCATACCAAAGCACTACTGTCATGAATTCTGACATGTGAACCTAACCTTGGAAGGGAGTATCCCTCATCGTAGTGAAGCTGTTATAATACCTAATATATTGTTATATGGTGAAACTGTTATAACACCTAATATATAAACCACTGCTACCAGTGGTAGCAGCACAGGTTTGGAAAATCTCCACAAGCCCTCCACATGAAAGCACAACTAGGCAGCAAAACCAAAAACCCATGGACAACATTCACAACAGAGCTAAGTAAAAAAATATTACCACAAAATCCAAAATCCAAAAAGGTATGGAAAACTACTAACAGCCATAAGACCTGACTGGCGTCAGTACTTCTGCAGGAGGAATCAGAAAGAAAAAATAGGGCCTTCAGGAGACCTAAGAACAGGAGAACACACAAGATAGGTAACAATGAAATGTAGGGCAAATACGAGAACATCAGCTGACTAGGAGGGGTTCTGGCCACTCCAAGAATGAGTGAATACAATGAATTCATGGTTGGCGCTGAAAGGGCTAGTGCACTTTAACCCCACTGTGAACTCTCAAAGCTGACATTCCGGGGCTCCCTTCCAGACAAAGCCCCATACTGAGGATAAATTACTGGGAGCAGAATGAAAGATGAGAATGATAGGTACAAGAGAGATAATGGAAAAATAAGGTACAAAAAAAAGTGGGAAAAGGAATCAGAGTCAGGAAATGTCAGAAAGCAAGCTGCCAGGACAAGAAATTTTTTAAAAATAAAAGATATGAAATACAAAGGACAGGGGAGAGAACAGAATTATCCTGGAGCAAGGAAATGACCAAATGGTAACTTAAATCCTCAGGAAGAATTAAGGAGTACCAGAAACAGCAAATATGTAGGTTAATACAAAAAGACTCCAGGCAAAAAAAAAAAAAAAAAGACTCCAGGCACCTGGGTGGCTCAGTCAGCTGAGCATCTGCCTTTGGCTCAGGTCATGATCCCAGGGTCCTGGGACAGAGCCCCACATCAGCTCCCTGCTCAGCGGGAAGCCTGCTTCTCCCTCTACCCCTCCCCCAGCTTGTGTTCCCTCTCTCGTGGTCTCTCTGTCAAATAAATAAATAAAATCTTTTGTAAAAAATAAATAAATGACAATAACAGCAAAAAGGAAGGGAGAGGGAATGGAGACACACTAGAGTAAAATTTCTATAAAGGAATTAACTCAGTATTATCATAAAGTCGATTTTAACAAAAAGCATATTGCAGCCCTTAGAATAAACACTGAAACTGTTTTATTCTCAAAAATATAGTTCAAAAATTGGGGCATGTGGGTGGCTCAGTTAAGTGTCCGAGTCTTAATTTCGGCTCAAGTCATGATCTCAGGGTTGTGATATCAAACCCCCGAGATGGGTTATGTGCTAGGTGTGGGGCCTGTTTAAGATTCTCTCTTCTGCTCCCTCTGCCCCGCCACGCTCTCTCTCCCACCTCTTAAAAAAAAAAAAAAAAAAAAAAATCAACAAAGGAATTATCTACTAGAAAATATCTACTTGGGGCGCCTGGGTGGCTCAGTTGTTGAGCATCTGCCTTCAGCCTAGGTCTTGATCTGGGATCAGCCCCGCGTTGGGCTCCCTGCTGCTGGGGAGGAGGGGAGCCTGCTTCTCCCTCTCCCTCTCCCAGTCCCTCTGCTTGAGTTCCCTCTCTCTCTGTCAAATAGATAAATAAAATCTTAAAAAAAAAGAAAACAACGGTCGCCTGAGTGGCTCAGTCGTTGGGCGTCTGCCTTCAGCTCAGGTCATGATCCCGGGGTCCTGGGATCGGGCCCTGCATCGGGCTCCCTTTTCAGCGGGGAGCCTGTTTCTCCCTCTCCCACTCCCCCTGCTTGTGTTCCCTCTCTCACTGTGTCTCTCTCTGTCAAATAAATAAAATCTTAAAAAAAAAAACAAAAACAAAAAGAAAGTATCTACTTAATACAAAAGAGGCAGAAAAGAACAAAAAAAGATATGAAAAAACAAACATCAAAATGTCAGATGTAAACCCAACCATATCATTAATAACACTGAATGTGAATAAACACTTAAATCAAAAGGCAAAAGGTTGGGGGATGCCTGGGTGGCTCAGTCAGGTAAGCCTCTGCCTTCAGCTCAGATCATGAT